TAATAAAGAAAGATAATTCCTAATATTTTCTAACTAAGTCTTTTTAGGTCTGCCTCTACCTTTCTTATCATAAGTCAAATCTAAAACCTCTACTTTTCTAATCTAGTCATCGAAAAGCTGACGTTTTATATGACCAAACCATCTAAGGTGACTCTCTCTAATCTTATCTTCTACTGGAGCTACTCCAACATTTTCATGTATATGCTCATTTCGTATTCTATCTCTAAGAGAAAAATAATAATAATAGAGAAAAAATATATACATCAATATATTTTTTATTATTAGTTCTAATGACAGTATCTTTTTCACACATTATGAAGAAAATTTTGGATCAAAACCCAATTAAAATTAGGAACCTAAAATTACATATTTTAGTCATAGCTCTTGACACAGAACTAAGAACATATAACAAGATATGCGCACGATTGAAAAAGCCAAAACACCCAAATAAAATAAGGAACTTAAAATTAGTTTTTGATCACTAAAAAAAAAAAGAAACTAAACACGGAATCAGATTGATATCATGCATGCATTATGCATATACATTTTTATTTATCTATTCAAATTAAAATTGATAAAAATGCGTAAAGAAAATTTTGTTTTTGTTTTTAATATGGAGGAGACAAATTGATTTTTTTTTTTCACTTGAATCAAAAACAAATTTAGGCGGGATGGTGTTTAATCACTATTTTTTGCTTTTTTTTTTTTAATTTGAACAGAAAAATTGTTTTAAAAATCAGCAAAACTATCCCAAACAAAACCTTAGGATTAATTTTGGACGATTAAGATGTTTGCAAAGTTGTTGTAAAAATAATAATTTTTTTTTGAAGTTAATATAAAAATAACTTCTTAATACAAAAATTTCGTGAAAATAATGAAAAATTGCACCCAAATAGAAACTATGATTATCTCAAAAAAACCTTAATGCAACAAATCTGGCCTAACTAGGATCAAGATTAGATCAGATCAAGATATAATCAAATTTAACTCAACATAAGATTGATCGAAATGACTTTGACAAGACAATTGCCAGTTAGATCTATATAGCTCAAGATAGGGGAAATTTATTACGTGCGGAGTCTGAACGAAAGAACCGTCCAAATGTATTGAGTATTTCTAAATACTCAGCAAAAATACTCGAAAAAACCACGAGTATATCAACAAATACTTTTCGTAAATACCACGACCACTCTAGCAACCACTATCAACTATTGCAATAACATAATAATAAAAAAAAAAACATATTTTTAAGATATCAAAGATAATTTCTTTCATGCAAAATATAAAATAAAAAATAAAAAATCTCAAAAAACACTCTAGATATTAAAGATACTTTATTTCATGCCAAAATATATTAAAAAAAAAAATTTCAAACATCCCTCTAGATATCAAAGATAGTTTATTTAAAGAGAACATTTTATACTACAAGAGCCATCTATCAAACAGACATGAGAGTTCATTTGGCATCTTAAAAAACTTTCATAAAATTTCAGCAACTCATTGGAGCCACAACTCCTGATAAAAGAGATGATACTCAAACCAATTTAACTATACTGTTTGTGGACATCCTAAGCCTGGAGTCTTGAAGATTCTCCAACTGCAGCTTCCATTCTCTGGTACCATTCACCAATGCTTGTATTCTGTATCATATCTCTACCAGCCTTCAGGTATCGAATCGGTCGAAGGACACCAAATACACTAAGGTCTGCTAAGCTGGGTCTTGACCCACCTGTAAATCCACTCCACATAAAACCATGCACTAATGATATATATATAATGGGACAAAAAATGATTTATTTTGCATATAATCGCTTTTGCCATATTTGTTTGTTAGTGGTAGAAAAGTTCAACAAAATCGGACGAAAATAGCAGGAGCGCAAGAGGCTTTCTGATTTTTTTATGGGCAAATTGCGTGGAAAAAAGGTCGGTTGGGGCGAAAAATAAAATTCAGGGGGGGGCAAATTACAAATAACCCTTACTAAACAAATAGTTCTAATTTTTTTAGGAGGGCAATTGCCCCCCTCAGCACTATAGTTCCGCCCTTGGTGAGGGAAATTGGATCGCCGTGTCTGGCGTACATTTACACCGGAATAACTGGAGGCTAATCCGTCGATAATTTCCGCCGATAACCATGCGACGGAGAAGGGTGGCGGATTATCTGCTGAAAATTTCAGCGTACATGTTCCGCCGGAGATACCGACGGAGGAAACGATGGAATTCGGCACATAAAAAGACGTCGGTTTCCCATATTTTTTCCACCGTAATGCCGCCGAAAACCTTTCCGGAGGAAAGTTTATGCCAGTTTGGATTTAACAACATGTGAATTACCGTCGGATCAATTTTCACCGGTATTGCGCCGGAAAGAGATAATTTTCCGTGGATTTCTGCTGTTACCGGCATATTTTGTCCGCCGGTAACAGCATGGCCTTCTGTAGTGACTTAAGCCACGACAATGGAAAAGAACCATCGATAGAGTGAATCTAATATAAAATTCTTGTGTGTTATTATGAGCCAATATTTTTTTTTTCATATTTTTTATTCTTTTCGCTCTCTTTGCATAAATTTCGACTATTTTCAAGCAACTAAAATGAATAGCTTACCCAGAAATTCTCTGCCATCAATGGCTTTAGACCATGTTTCAGCTGCCTCGTATAAAGCAGCACGCTCATCTGTGATGTTATATTTTTTCTTTAGCTTCTTAGACACCAAGTACATGACAGCAGCTCCAGCGTACTTAGCAGTAAGCCTCTCATGAAAACTGAAGTTGCCTGGAAATCAAGTACGCAGATGGTTATACGCATTCTTAATATCTGGTAGGAATTACCTCATCAAATTTATAAAAATGAAATAAAAGGAAAAATAATATAATAAATAAAAGGTAATGCAATCTTTGGTGTGCAGGACGCAGATAGCCATAACCAACCAAAATTTGTATGAAAAATAAAAGGAAAGTAAAGCACATGATTTAGAAGCTCCTATTTTTATAATCAAATACTACATAAAGATTAACAATCAAAGATCAATATATTTATCGACGCAAATATGATATGCAGCTAAAAATAAATCTAAAATTTCTCCGATCCAGGCAAACAAACAAGCGTCAAATTTGAAATGCAGCGCAGACTGTGATGCTAGCTAATGTAAGGTTATAGCAATATTTTACCAAATTGCTTCATAAGATCATCTCCAACTAAACTACATATCACCGTATGTCGTCCGACATTTGCTCTATTTGAATTTCAAATGGCACGCCAAATTCCGGTAGGTGAACAGTCCGACGCTAATATTGGCATCGGACTGTTTACCTATGCCAAAAAATTTCGCTACAGGATTTGCCGAAGAAGCACGCGAAAGAGGAGAAAAGCGCGCCAAAGATGGTTACCTTCGTAGGAAGCACGTGAAAGAAGAAAAAATGACGTTCGATTGGAGAAAAGAATGACTGCATTTTGAAGTTTTACTGCATTTTGGAGTGGAAAATAAGATTTTCGGTTGGAGATGCCCTAAATAATAAAAAAATATTGCACCAGATAGATATCCAGTATGGGGCAAAAAATAAAATTCAAGGGGGGCAGATTACAAATAACCCTCACTAAACTAATAGTTTTATCTTTTTTAGGGAGGGCAATTGCCCCCCTCAACACTACAGTTCCGCCCTTGGTGAGGGAAATTGGATCATCGTGTCTGGCGTACATTTACATTGAAATAACTGGAGGCTAATCCGTCGGTAATTTTCGCCGATAACCATGCGATGGAGAAGGGCAATGGATTATCCGCAGGAAATTTCAGCGTACATGTTCCGTCGGAGATACCGACGGAGGAAACGTCGGAATTGACACATAAAAAGACGCCGGTTTCCCATATTTTTTCTACGGTAATGCCGCCGAAAACCTTTCCGGAGGAAAGTTTATGCCAGTTTGGATTTACCGACGCGCGAATTACCGTCGGACCAATTTTCACCGGTATTGCACCGGAAAGAGGTAATTTTCGGCGGATTTCTACTGTTACCTGCAGATTTTGTCCAACGGTAACAGCGTGGTTTTCTGTAGTGACTTGAGCCGCGAAAATGGAAAAGAGCCATCAATAGAGTGAATCTATATAAAATTCTTGTGTTATTATGAACCAATCTTTTTCTTTTCATATTTTTTATTCTTTTCGCTCTCTTTGAATAAATTTTGCCTATTTTCAATCAATTAAAATGAATGGCTTACCCAGAAATTCTTTGCCATCAATGGCTTTAGACCATGTTTCAGCTGCCTCGTATAAAGCGGCACGCTCATCTGTGATGTTATATTTTTTCTTTAGCTTCTTAGACACCAAATACATAACTGCAGCTCCAGCGTACTTAGCGGTAAGCCTCTCATGAAAACTGAAGTTGCCTGGAAATCAAGTACGCAGATGGTTATACGCATTCTTAATATCTGGTAGGAATTACCTCATCAAATTTATAAAAAAGAAATAAAAGGAAAAATGATATAATAAATAAAAGGTAATGCAATCTTTAGTGTGCAGCACGCAGATAGCCATAAACAACCAAAATTTGTATGAAAAACAAGAGGAAAGCAAAGCACATGATTTAGAAGCTCCTATTTTTATAATCAAATACTACAGAAAGATTAACAATCAAAGATCAATATATTTATCGACGCAAATATGATCTGCAGCTAAAAAAAATCTACAATTTCTCCGATCCAGGCAAACAAACAAGCGTCAAATTTGAAATGCAGCGCAGACTGTGATGCTAGCTAATGTAAGGTTATAGCAATATTTTACTAAATTGCTTCATAAGATCATCTCCAACTAAATTACATATCACCGTATGTCGTCCGACATTTGCTCCATTTGAATTTCAAATGGCACTCCAAATTCCGGTAGGTGAACAGTCCGACGCTAATATTGGCATCGAACTGTTTACCTATGCCAAAAAATTTCGCTATAGGATTTGCCGAAGAAGCGCGCGAGAGAGGAGAAAAGCAAGCCAAAGATGGTACCTTCGTAGGAAGCACACGAAAAAAGAAAAAATGACATTCGATTGGAGAAAAATGACTGCATTTTGAAATTTTACTGTATTTTAGAGTGAAAAATAAAGTTTTCGGTTGGAGATGCCCTAAATAATAAAAAAAGGTGCTGCATCAGATAGATATCCAGTATAGCTGATCATACAGAGGCGTTTGCAGGACAACAAGCATACAGTAGAAAGTAAATAAAACAGTTTAATAGGTGCAAACATCATACTAAAAACAGATGAGAAGATTTTTTTTTACCATGACTAGTTATGTAGCTGAAAGACTCTAACGCCTCTGAAATTGTTCTATATATATTTGGAGATAAGACATGCACAAGATGCTCGTCAACCCACCTATAGAATAGCAAATAAAAAATCATCAGCAAATGTAATTTCACACGATTGATCATACTCAACAATTCATAATGACAACCTCAAACTGAAGTCCATGAGTGAAACACGAAAAAAATAGCAGATCTTTAAAATTATCAATGCGATATGTATTAAAATAGGAACTTATTATCTATCAATTATCTAAAAATTTCGACTAGAAATTAATTAGTGTATTTATAAATATTCTTAATTATTTACTATAATATCAAGACAAATTAATTGAACTAATGACTCAATCACAATCTTCTATTGGACGTATTTTTTTCTCTATAATGAGTAGAACACTCTAAAGAAGAGAAAGCAATTGGTGCATCAAATCTTATTAGTCAAAAATATTATGTGATTTTCCTGGTTTCAAAATTGAAATTCCAATTAATCAGCAGCAGCATGTCATTGGGCTATTGATGTAAAACGTAGATGCAAGGATGATCCAAGTAATCAGAAAATACGGAGTTCCCGCGATTGTAGGAAGGCTTGGGAGGAAGTATGTGGCATCTAAGAACCTTTTTGAACATGTGATCAGCAACCTAGAACGTCCAGGCAGCCTTTGAAGTCCTTCCAAATGGCTGGACAGCAAAAAAATATGTGCAAACTTCCCTGGGCAGCGAACCAAAACCTTCAGATAGCTGGTACGAAAGTTTGGACAGCATTCCTTGACCTTAGGAACCTTGGCAGCAGCTCTATGGATGATCGGATGTCAGGACAGTGTATAAAATCTATCCAGAAAATTATGGACAGCAGTTTGGCATGAAGAACTGCTACGTTCTGGCTTTCTGGATGCATTATTGAAAGAATATAGCAGGAAAATTTGGGAATAACAATGTGAAATAGTCTTGAGATTAATTTACTTGCCTAGGTGGCAAGATTAATTAAATCCCAAGTCAATTTGGGGGAGAGAGAATGGAAATCTGAAATTAATTTTCAGATTATGTGAAATTGGATGGATGAATTTGAATTTAAATTCAAATTTTAATGGGGAGAATTAAATTGGATGAGAGGAAATTGTGGGAGGTAATTAGGGAGGCTTAATGAGGGGGGCTATTAATGAAATTGGAGAGAGAAAGCTCATCGAGAGGGGCCAACCATAGAGAGAGAGGGGAGAGGGGAATTATGGCTAATTAAGTGGGGCCCACACATTATTCAAAGCATTAAAAAAAATCTGAATTAAAATTCAGATTTTATTTCAAAGAGGGGTTTCCTAATTTAAGTACTATTATTTGGAAAGCTTTTGAATTTCAAATTTGAATTTGAAATTCAATTAATAGCTCTCTTAATTACTTGTCCTTATTTTAGGGAAGCAATTAATGCCCTTTTGAAATTTGAATTTCAAACATGTGGGTTGGGTGAGGGGGAGTAGAGGAGTTTCCAAATAGGTAGTGAATATTAGGAAAAAATAATAATAACTCCAATTTGATTTATGTTGAAATTGGATTCATGAAAGAAACTTTCCTAATTTGGGATTCCCTATATGGAAATAATCTGAAATTCAAAATTTGAATTTCAAATAGGATGGAGTGGTGGAGAGAGGGCTGGCGGGTGGAGGGTTGGAGGCCGGTGGCTTGGTTGTCCCATGGAGGCCGGCGGAGCCGCCAATGGCGGGATCGGCTTGGGGTGGCCGGCACTGGACTTATGGGGGCAGGTGGAAGGGAATTTGGGAGGAAGAGAGTTTGGTTAGGTAGAGAAGAAATCAATTGGGTTTAGGAAAAAGAAAATCCGGAGCTACACACCTCAAGTATTCCCTTCTTAAGAACTCACAAAGAGATCTTGGGAATCTCGGAACTCACAAAGAGATCCTCGAGCAACACTTCCAATAGAACTCACAAAGAGATCTACAAGTGTCACTTCCTCAAGAACTCACAAAGAGATCTTGGGAATCTCGGAACTCACAAAGAGATCCTTCTCTCATGAACTCACTAAGAGATCAAACAAGTAGAATAAAATTTCATTAACAATTCATCATCCCATTACACAAGAAATGGGCTCTATATATAGGCCTAAGAAACTAAAACAAGACACATATGCCCTTATGGCTTACATAGGACGACCCTCTTAAGTGAGGGTAAAAACGGAAAATTTATAATAAAAATTTAAAAATTACAAATAAAATATAAGATAACGTGGGACGATGACAGCCGTTGATCTTCAACTCCTCGGATAGACATGGACGGTTGGATGTCCGCATCAGCTATATACTATTATAGAATTAATCATATTAAGCACAATAAATAAGGAGAACAATAAGTGTGTAAGATTCTAGCTTCAGCTAAAACAATCCCCAAAAAAGGAGAAAATGACTGAAACTGAATATAGAGCTCCATGAACATTGATGAAATAAGAGAACATCAATTATAAAAAGGTCTTTAATGAAACGACAACTTGATATTACAAGAATATTTTAAAGACCTACCTCCTCCATTTTGATTCCTCCTCGTCAAGAATGGTCTTCTCAGGATGGATCCTTTGGTTTAATTTATCAATTATATCTGCAAGCATAAGCCCGAGACTTAATCTTATATGCACAAGAACCATTTACTGTCAGATTGCAATAAATATTTTAAAATAAAAGTATTTTATTGAAGTCAGACTGCAAGTAAGAAAATTATGAAGCAAATTCAGAAGCTCCTGTTGTAGAGAATGAAGGTTTCAGAACAAGAACCTGACGATTCCACCAGCTGTTCACCGTCCACAACTAGAATAGGAACCTTCTTATAGTCAGACCACTTGATTTCCTTCTTGCCAAAAGGGTTTACTTCCACAACCTTGTATGGTATATCATGATAGTCTAAAAATGCTACAGTGAAACAAAAAATAAAAAATAAAAAAAATGAATGTTTAATCAAATTTTCAAGATATGCCGAAATATGAAAATTTTCTCATGTCTTCAGAAGCTCATGAGATGGTCACTGGAATCAAACCCATTTCAGTGTAAATCCATCCATGTAACATTGGGTCTCATGTCTTCATAAGCTCATGAAATGGCCAATGGAATCAAACCCATTTCAGTGTAAATCCATTCACGTAACGATGGCCAACATTGTTAAAGCAATGCTGAGAAAATAAGAAACATAAAAAAGTCGCAGGACAAGGACACAGCGAAAAGGCGAGGAATTTAGTCCAAGTATATGGCAATCTTCAAGAAAAAGAATAATTATTTGTAGAAATCAGCCTTTTTTTCTCATTTTCATTATATTTTTTTTCCCATTGTGACCCCTTCAAAACACTCGCAATGGAAATTTGCCACAACTTAGCCAAATCAGCTATACTGGCACCTCTTTCTTTAAACTTGTCTGCGATACAACAAAGTAAATGTGCTTCTTATGACGCATTAAAGGGTATGTTTGGTAGTGTTTTTTATCTGATTTGCTTCTCTAAAAGCATGTAAAATATTTTTATGATGTGTTTGGTTATCAGATTTTTTTTTCTGCTTTATATAGAACAAAAGGCTAAAAGCTGCTTTAAAAAGTAATTTTCTAACAGCAAAAAAAAAAAAATTTTTGTCAAAGGGCCATCGGTTACTCCACCGCAACGGAAAAGGTGAAAGGGATTCGGCTACTTTGCCACACCGAATTGGTGAAATAGATTTGGGTACTCCACCGCAACGGGTTGATAAAACGGAATTGGCTTCTCTTTCGCACTGAGTTTGTGAAAAGGATTTCGATTCTCAACTGCACTGAGGGAAAAAGTAATTTTGTGAAGGCTTCTCTGCCTTGGCAGGGTCTAAAGAAGGGTCACTAAAATATTTAGTGCAATACCTTGAGAGGACTCCGAGGAGTGGAAGTAAGTCAAGTTGGCCGAACAAATATAAAATTATGTCGTGTTTGTTTTTTTTTTTTTTATTCGCACTTTACTTTCTACATTTTACTTTTTACATATTTACATTCTACAATTTGGGTTGTGTTGTTGATTATTGTGATACAAGATTTGTGGCTGATTGAGTTTATTTCTTGGTTGAAAAAGAAAAAAATCAGGAAAAAAATAATTATTTTTCTTACAAAATAAAAATTAAAAAAAAGTTTTGGATGTTAATCGCTTCTGCATTGAAATATTTTTTTTTAATTTTAAGTTTGGGAATTGGTTTTAATTTTAGAAAGAATTGTTTAAGATTTAGAACACTAATTCACCTCTCTCTTGTTGTGTCATTTAGGAGTTCAAATGATTTCACAACCATCTTTTGAACTTTCAACTTCTTCTTCATGAAATCCCAAATATACTTGGTTGTTTATTTACAAAGAATGATTTTCAAGATTGAGCAATCAATAGCTTGGAAGAGATAATTCTTTGCTTTAAGATCCTTTAACTTTACCCATTCAAGCTATATCTTTTGCGCATCTGCCAACACAACACTTGTTGTTGGTTCTGATACTCCAGAAATGATAGTTGTCTAATATTCTTTGGACCTCAAGAAGTTCTCCATGAGCATGCTCTAGTCATCATAATGACCATCAAAGCGTAGAATGGATGCCCTACAAACTATTGAAACCATCAATTTTATTTTTTTTTCTCCTTGGAACTCAACCTAGCTTTGATACCATTGATGAAAACAAAATACAAAAGGACATGTACCACGTTTGAGTTGTCCTAGACTCCTAGTCTTTTAGGAGCAAGTTTGTTTTTGTTTATCAGAGTCAGTAGAAGTTTGCTTTTTAAAGTTGAATAGTTATTATTTTAATGTTGCTTTCAATTATGTATTAGCCTATTTATTGGCTAATTGTTTATAAAAGAGAGAGAGAGAGAGAGTTTTACCTCTGCTTCGCTTTAGTGTTTTGTTTTCATCTTGGCTTTACACATAAAAACAGAATGCAAAATGAGTATATAAATGAAAAAGTTGGAGTAGCTCCAGTGCCAGACAATACTAGAGAGAGCCACCATATATGATTTGGTCACATAAAATGTGGTCTTCTGATGACCGATTTAGGAAAGTAGATGTATTAGATATTGCCTATATTAAAAAAAGTAGCAGTATACATAAAAATACTTGGTTAGAGAGTATTAAAAATGACCTTTTTTATTATATTCAAATGATAATTTGACTCTTAATAGGACACAAAAGAGAAAAATGATTCATGTAGAGCTGTAGACCCCACGAAGTGAGACAAAAGATTGATGTAGTTGTTGTTGTTTAGTGCCACAACAATTTTATGCCAAATAATACACTCCCACAACATTTTAGACAACAAATTTAATATAATTTTATCAAACAAACAATCATCAAATCATTTGACAGAATGTCACTTCACAACACTATACACCAAAACACGACATAAGATAGCAATGTCAAACAGTTCCTAAGAAAAAAAAATGCACCCTTAACTCACAGCTAGGTGACCTCTGAAAATAATATTTTGTCCATGTCAAATACTCTGATTGAGGGAGAAGTGTGACCAACAATTTTGAGGAATAATGGAATTATTTTGAGGCATTTTGCAAATATTGGAAATTTGTATAGAAAATGGTTGGAAAAAATAAGTAGACTTATTTCTATCATTAGCAGTAATGCAATGCTCATTACATTACATTGCATAATTGCAAGGATGTTAAGGGTTTTCCTACCCTTTCAAATTGTTTTACATTGCAGCACAATTTTGAGCATCCGATCATATTTTTAAACTGACCATATATATAATTAGTGCAAATAAAAAAAGAAGATGTACTATAAATCGGTAGTTTCCAGGGAAAGTCAAGTTAATATCAACCGCTGCAATCAAATGCACTCTAAATTAGAGCGATACAAACTCTTACTCGGAATTTGTTAGTTTCCACTCATCACACAAATTTGGCAGGATTTTTCCTATTCTTACTGTCTAGAAAAGAACTACCAAATACTCCAGAGTCAATGAATCCTTTAGCATTAGAGCGAAAATCATATATGAGACCCCTTACCTTTAACCTTGTTGCAGAAGGGGCAGGCCTCATACTGATAAAGAACCACGTCCTTTGGCAAGGACTCCAACGAGACTGGCTCCTTCGCCTCCACCACAGACGAAAGAGCCATGGAGAAGGACACAGCTCCGGCAAGGCCAGCCAAACCCGACTTCGTCGTGATGGACGGGAGTACAAACGGAAACAGAGGTGGAAACCACAATTGCCTCATTTCGGGTTTGGCACTGCAACAATTGAACGCGGTGCCGATGCAGTTCCGCCGGCCTAATGTGGCGGCGGCGGCCGCGGAGGCCGCGGCGGCGGAGCATGGAGAGAATATGTTCCTGGGAACGGGGAAGTGGTAGTATAGATTCTGCGCCCTTAGCATCTTCGCACGAGCTTGCTATCTTCTGCTACTGTGATCCTTTGAGAGGAATCGCGAAAGCCGACGTCGAGGAGAATGAATGGAAGATTATATGCGAACGCCAAGCCCTCGCGAATTGGCGCGGCAGCTTCGAGAAAGATCGGATTACGCTAGACTCGCGGAGAATAAACGAAGGTTAATGTTGAGCGCATTTTGGCCGGATGATCTGCGACTCGCGAATCTTAAGGTGGTCGGAACGAATCAGAAATGTTAGGAACACGTTAAATAAAATGGTTGCTCGTGTTGTTTTTGCACGACATATATCTTCATATGTGACGTGGCAAGCCCAACGGCGTGAAATTTCAAGCGGCAATGAGTTTAAGATGGAACTTTTTGAGTTTGCAAAATTTTTTATAAAAAATTAAGTAAAAAAATATCAAACAACATAAAATATAAATATTTATGAGCATAGGATCATTTTCAAATGAAGTCATCAAAAGTTATAATTGTGTTCCACACCATCTAAATTATGAGTATTTATATTATTAGCATCAAAATTTTACTTTTTTTATGTCTTTTGGCATATTAACTATGTTAATGAACTCAAAAGATCTCATCATCAATGGATTGGGCGACGCCTTCTCCTAGTGAATTAAATCCAAATTTGAGCTCCTGCACATCGCTGATGCAACTTCTTCTTTTGTGCACATCACATGAATCAACCAATGCCCTCACTTGCGAGCTTCGCTAGAGGAGGTTGTTGCTCGGCTCAAATCAATAATATATTTCTTTCGAGTTCTAGTGGATCTCTATTTATTGAGGATGTTGGAGACATTGATGCCCTAAGATGTAATATCTCATTCAATTTCCTTGTTTCTTTGTTGTTAAGGGCTTCACGAAGAGGAACAGAGAGATGAGAGCAGAGAGCGAGCGTGGTGTACATAACATTTAAAACCAATACATCTACATATTTAATATGAAAATTTTACCACTTAATTTTTTTGTAGCTATGATATCATAAAAAAGAGATTTACATAACATTTAAAACCATTCTATTTGTATGTCTAATATTCAAAATATTATATTCACTCACATAATACTTAATTTTTTAAATAACATAAAATATAACACTTTCCTCCTTTTAACTCTTCATCAAGCCACATGCGACCAGTCCATTAGTGCCCTTCTCTAGCCATATAATGTTGTTGCTTCTTGATTTCCCATCATAAATTCCTCACCTATTCTATCGTAGAAATTCTTTTGATGGTACCGGTCCCGTCGATGCAATTTCTCCAACAAAATCTCATGAATTTTTCACCATTCTACATCATCAAGAGTTTTGAGATTTTTAGTAGAGAGAGTAGAAGTAAGATAATAGTTAATAGTATTTGTACAACAACATCAAGCTTTATCCAACTATGTAGGGTAGGTTACATGAATCTTTTTTCTCCGTTGTGTCATGCTAAGAGTCAAATTCTCATCTAAATCTAATAAAGAAATGTCATTTCTAATATTTTCTAACCAATTCTGTTTAGGTCTACCCATATCTTTCTTAACACAAGTTAAATCTAATACATCTATTTTTCTAACAGGGTCATCGAAAGGTTGTCATTTTATTTGACCAAACCATCTAAGACGGCTCTCTCTAATCTTATCTTCCACTAGAGCAACTCCAACCTTTTCACCTATATGTTCATTTCATATCTTATCTCTAAGAATAAAGAAACTCATTCAACTGAGCATTCTCATCTCTGCAACACTTAACTAAATATTGTGCTTCTCTTTTAGGTCAACATTTTGCACCATAAGCATTGCATGTCTCATCACCATCTTATAGAATTTTCCCTTAAGTTTGAGATGATAATTTTCTATCACAACAAGCCCGATGCATTCCTCAACTTCAACCATACAATCTAAATTCTGCTAATAATATCACCATCTATTTCACCATCACTCACAACAATAGACACAATATATCTAAAATGTGTACTCTTATTAACGACTTGATCGTCCAAAGTCACAATCCAACCACTATATCTATTATTATTAAAATTACACTACATATATTCAACTTTAGATCTACTCAAATGAAAGTGTTTAGACTCTAAGGTTGACCTCCATAATTCAAGTTTACCTTCAATTCCCTCTCTAGTCTTATCAACAAGAAGAATATCATCAGCAAAAAGCATACACCACAATACAACTTCTTGCAAATGTCTAGTAAGAACATCCATGACTAAATCAAAAAGATATGGGTTTAAGGTTGATCCTTGATGTAATATAACTCAAATAAAAAAATACTTGGTAAAAACCACCTTGTTTTTTAACACAAGTAACAGCTCCTGCATGTATATCCTTAATGACTTGAATATAAGCATTATTAACCTCTTTATTATGTAGAACTCTCCATAGCAATTCTCTTGGAACTTATCATATGCTATCTCTAACTCAATAAAATTCATACGTAGAACCTCCTTATTTCCTCTATACTTCTCAATCAAACCTCTCAATAAATGTATAGCTTCCATAGTAGACATATCTGACATGAATCTAATTTCATTTGGAGAAACATTAGTGTCACACCACAACCTATGCTCCATAGCTCTATCCCATAGCTTTAAAGTATGACACATTAACTTAATATATCTATGATTCACACAATCTTGTGCATCACCTTTATTCTTAAAAATAAGAATCAACATACTCATTCTCCACTCATATGACATTTTTTAGTCTTCAAAAATAATATTAAAAAGTTTAGTAAACCAAGAAATTCCTTCATCTCCTAAGCATTTTCAGGCCTCTAATGGAATATCATCGATTTAAAAGTTTTTCCACACTTCATTTTCTTTAAAGCCCCTCTAACTTTGATTTTACTAATAACAACAACAACATCAAGCCTTTATCCCACTACGTGGGGTCGGCTACATGAATCCTTTTTCTCCATTGTGTTCTATTAAAAGTCAAATTCTCATTTAAATCTAATAAAGAAAGGTCATTCCTAATATTTTCTAACCAAGTCTTTTTAGGTCTACCCCTACCTTTCTTAACATAAGTCAAATCTAATACCTCTACTCTCCGCCGTTTTTAAAATCTTTATTTTCATTTAGGATGTTAAGGTCACTAAAGTCAATCACATTCTCACAATCTTTATTAAAAAATTTAGCAAAATATCTCATACACATTTGTTGAATATTCTCATCTAATTAAAACATTTTTTTATATGCATCATTAACGCACTTCACTTAAACTAGATCATTATTACTCATATCTTTTTGCTTAGCTAACTTATACATATATATCTTTCACCCTCCTTAGGATCTAATTTATTATATAAATCATTAAATTCTAAAATTTTTGTATCGCATATTAATTTCTTAGACTTCTTATGGGCTTCTTTATATATTTCTCAATTATCAAAATTTTTACATCTAATTCAATTCTTATAACAAATCTTCTTTTTTTTAATCTTTTCTTACACTCTTGATTCCACCACAAACTATTTTTACTATTTGTAGCTTTTCTCTTTGATACTCCAAGCACATTTTTTACAACATTTTTAATATCACATCTAGCTACTTTTTTCACATAGCATTAGCTTCCTTATGCATAAACAAAATCTTAAGATATAGAATCTTACTCTCAAAAATATTTTTATTAATATTCTTTAGATGCCCCCATCTAATCCTCAAATAACGATTCACTTTATTTTTTTATTTTCTACCCATTCATCTTAAAGTCAAAAACTAATAAGCGATATTAGGTACATAAACTTTCTCTCAAAGTGAATATATAATCTTTGCAATTTAAACGATTTATTTTTCTTATAAGAAAATAGACAATCTTAATTTTATTATATCAATTCTTATAAGTGATAAGATGTTCATATTTTTTTTTCGTAATAAGATATAAGCAATTATAAAATTATAAGCTAAAGAAAAAATCTAATATAATCTTGTCACCTTCATTGGTTACTCCAAAGACATAGCCACAATAAATATTTTTAAAATCATGTAACTCTCTACCAACATATTCATTTAAATCTCATCCAATAAAAACTCTTTATTCAAGAGGCATCTTTTGTATTAATTCTTCTAAGTTATTTCAAAATTTTAATTTTAAACATATATCCAAACCTTTTTGAGGAGCATAAGTACTTATAATATTAATGCTCTTAGCATCAACAATAATATTTAAAGCTATAATTATATCTCAAATTCTATTAATTTTTATAATATTATTCTTCAAACTCTGATTTATAATCACACATATATCATTTTTAGGACAACTCTTACCAGAATACTATAGTTTAAATCCTATACTATCAATCTCCTTAGTCTTCTTTCCAACTCATTCAATTTTCTGAATGAATAGAATATTCATCTTCCTATGAATTAACAAACGCAAGACTTATTAGGTTTTGTTTGGGACAGTTTCGTACAGCTAGCTTTTTAAAACGGCTTTTTAGTACAAAAATTTCAAATTCAAGAAATTTTTATACAAGAAAGCCGTTTTAGAAAGCAAGAAGAAAGCCGTTTCCAACGAAGTATTAGTTGATAATCAAAGCTCTCAACCAACAAATCAAAAAGAGTTCCGTAATTACTCAAATCTCAATAGTGCATCAAAAGTAGCTTCACATTCAAATGAAGTGACTGTTCAGACGAGGACAAAAATAAGGTACATGATCTATTAAAGCTAATAATTGCCAGCAACATATGGAACTAGAAGCAACTCCTAGGGTTTGATGCAAGACCTCGGGTCAGCTCTGTCCTGAAAAACATTATAGAGGAGTTGTATCGACAATGGCCTCCAAGATTCTCTTGTCCAGGTTTTCTTCAGAAATCCACATTGAACTTTGTTGGCGTAAAAGGTCCTTCTTTTCTGTCTTCTTCTGTTCCCTCAGTTGCTCTTTCTTCCGCCAGCTTTCAAGCTTTTCAGCTCTTTCTTTCAACTGCATCGACATGTTCAGTTATGATTATCAGCAATGGCCACAAGCTTATCCACAAGTATATGAAACCATTAGTAATAGTGCAGCGAGGCAAAAGAATTTTGCAAGGAATCTAATCAACGCAACTAAAGAACAAAAAATAGGGTCTGTACAATTGCATAAATACTAAGTATAGCCCTTCTTTCTATCA